TTGAAAAATTTAAAAATAGGGAAACTTAATGATTCGAAAAATTGTAACAAAGAAAAATTGTAAAATCGAAAAATTATAGAATCATCAAAATTGTAAAGTCAAAAAATTGTGACATTGAGAGATCGAGAAATTGAAAAATCGAATAAATGAAAAAATTTAAAATCCAATAACTGAAAAATGGATAAATTCTAAAACCGTAAAGTTGAAAAAGTGAAAAATGTTAAAAATTATAGGTAATTATTTTTATAGTAGTAAATATGTATAAAATGAAAACTACTAGAGAAATTGCTATTCAAAAATTTTTTATTCGAAAAGTTGAAAAATTGAAAAATGGGAAACTTGAAAATCGAAAAAGTAAAAAAATCTGAAAAAATTGAAAAATCGAAAAACGAAAATCCGAAAATTTGTAAAATAGAAAAAGTCAAAAATCAAAAAATCCAGAAACTTACAAGTCGAAAAAAATTAATGAATCGAAAAATCGGTAAGAAGAAAAAACGAATCTAATCAAAAAATTGGAAAACCCAAAAACTGTAACACTGGAAGATCGATAAATTGAAAAATTAAATAAATGAAAACGTTTTAAAAGCCAATAATTGAAAAATGGGGAAATTCTAAATTCGGAAATTTGGAAAAGCGAATAATTGAGAAAATGGCGATTATAAAAACTCGAAACGAAAAATTGCAAATCGAAAATTTGAAGAAATGAAAAATTAAAGCAAAAAGTTGAAAAATGAGAAATTGAAAACTGGAGAAATTTTAAATCGAAAAATTCCTATTTAGAAATTGAAGAAACAAAAAAGATGAAACATTGTAAGACCGCAAATCGAAAAACTGAAGAAACGAAAATTGTAAAATTGGAAACTGAAAATTGGGGAATCTCAAAGCGAGAAATTGCACTACCTGAAAATTAAAAAAAATAATCAAAATTTGGAAAAATGAAAAAGTGAACTTTTAAACTTGAAATCTGGAAAAATTGAAAAACGAAAATCTGAAGAAACCAAAAAATAAAAAATTGAATCTGTGAAAAATTTAACCTTGAGGTCTCGTAAAATTGGAAATCGGAAAAGTGAAGAAACAAAAAAATAAAAAATTGAAGAATTGGAAAATTTCACACTGAAAAAAGAAAAATTAGAAAAGCCGAAAAATTGATAAAATAAATGAAATAAGAAACCGAAAGGAAAAATCGCAAATCGAAAAATTGAAGAAATGAAAAATTGACAAAATTCAAATTGCATAAATAAAAGATTATAAATTCGGAACATGGAAAAATTGTAAAATTGTAAAAATAAACAAAAAACCATCGAAACAAAAAATTGTAAATCGAAAATTTGAAGAAATGAAAAATTGAAAAATCGAAGAACTGAAAAATCTAAATTAAAAATCATAAAGTGGAAAAATCGTAAAATTGACAACCGAAAAAGTGGATATCGAAAAATTGAAAAATCCAAGAAATGAAAAATTTCACATTGAAAAAAGAAAAATTAGAAAATCGGGAAATTGCATAGCAACAAAATGCCAAAAAAAGAAAATAAAAAATCAAAACGAAAAAATGGAAATCGGGAAATTGAAGAAATGAAAAATGGAAAATCCAAAAATTGAAAACTTAAAAATTGGAATCGCGTGAAACTGCAAAACGAAAAATTACAAAATTGGAAAATTGAAGAAACAAAGAAGATAAAAAATTTAAAAGTCGTAAATCGCAAAAGTGAAGACGCGAAAAATTGTAAAATCGAAAAACTGAAGAAACGAAAAATTCTAAAATTGGAAATTCGAGAAATTTAAAAGCTGGAAAATTGAAATAGTGAATAACTTAATCTTGAATTTCGAAAAATTGGAAATCGAAAACTGAACGAACAAAAAAAATAAAAATTGCAAAATTTAAAAATTTTGCATTGAACAAAGAAAAATTAGAGAATCAAAACACTGAAAAGCCGAAAAATTGAAAAAATAAAGAAAATAAAAGACCGAAACGAAAAATTCTTAATCGAAAATTTGAAAAAATGAAAAACTGATAAATCCAAATATTGAAAACTTAAAAATTGAAATCTCGTGAAATTCCAAGCGAATAATTATAAAATATAGAAATTGAAGAAATAAGATGAAAAATTGAAAAACCGCAAATCGAAAAACCGAAGAAACGAAAAATTGGAAAATTGGAAAATGAAACTTCGAGAAACTCAAAGCGAACAATTGCAACATATAAAGACTGAAAAATTCAAAAGTTGGAAAATTGAAAACGTGGAAAATTTATACTTGAAATCTAGAAAAATTAGAAATTGAAAACGGAAGGAACAAAAAAATGAAAAATTGAAGAATTGAAAATTTTCACATTGAAAAAAGGAAAATTAGAAAATCAGAACATCTAAAAGCCGAAAAATTAAAAAAAAAAGAAAATTAAAATCCGAAAAGAAAAATTGCAAAACGAAAAATTGAGAAATGAAAAATGAAGAAATCTAAAAATTGAAAACTTTAAAATTGAAATTTCGTGAAATTGCAAAACGAAAAATTACAAAATCTAAAAATTGAAGAAACATGGAATATGATAAATTGAATATTAAAAACCGTAAATCGAAGAAATGAAGACACGAAACCTAAAAACTGCAAAATCGAAAGTCGGAAAATTGAAAAACTGTAAAATTTAAACTTGAAATCTCGAAAAATTGGGAATCGAAAATCTGAAGAAACAAAACAATTAAAAATTGAATAATTGAAAAATTTCACAATAAAAAAAGAAAAGTTAAAATTTAGAAAACTAAGAAGTCGAAAAATTGAGAAGACAAAGAAAACAATAAACCGAATCGAAAAATTGCAAATCAAAAAATTGAAGAAATGAAAAATTGAAAAATCCAAAAATCGAAATGTGAAATTGCAAAGCGAAAAATTACAAAATCTAAAAACTGAATAACAAAGGAAGATGAAAAATTGAAAAAACACAAATGGAAACACTGAATAAACAAAAAATTCAAAAGCTGGAAATTGAAAATTCGAGAAACTCAAAGCGAAAAATTGCAATACATCAAAACTGAAACATTCGAATGTGGGAAAATTGAAAAGTGGAAAATTTATATATGCTTGTATCTCGAAAAATTGGAAATCGAAAAGTTGAAGGAACAAAAAATTGTAAAATTGAAGAATTGAAAATTTTCGCATTGAAAAAAGAAAAATTAGAAAATCAGAACATCGAAAAGCCGAAAAATTGAAAAAATAAACACATTAAAGAACCGAAACGAAAAATTGCAGAAATGAAAAATGGAAAAATCTAAATATTGAAAACCTAAAAATCGAAATCTGGTGAAATTGCGAAGCAAAAAAGTTCCAAAATCGATAAGCTGAAGAAACGAAAAATTGTAAAATTGGAGATTGAAAATTCGGGAAACTCAAGCGAAAAACTGCAATACCAAAAAATTGAAAAAATCAAAAGTTGGAAAATTGAAAAAGTGAAATATTTAAACTTGAAATCTCGAAAAATTGAAAATTGAAAAACTGAAAGAAAACGAATGAAAAATTGAAGAATTGAAAATTTTCACATTGAAAACACAAAAATTACCTAGAATTTAGAATTAGAAACTGAAAATCGAAAACTGAAGAAACTAAGAAATATTGTGAAATTGAAAACTGAAAATTCGAGAAATTCGAAGTGGAAAATTGCAACAATTCATCGTTGGAAAATTGAAAAAGTGAAAAAATTTAAACTTGAAATGTGTAAAAATTGGAAATTGATAAAGTGAAGCAAAGAAATGAAAAAATGAAGAATTGAAAATTTCACATTAAACAAAGAAAAATTAGAAAATCAGAACATTGAAAAACCGAAAAATTGAAAAAATAAATAATATAAAACCCGAAACGAAAAATTGCAAACCGAAAAATTGAAGAAATGAAAAATCCAAAAATTGAACACTTAAAAATTAAAATCGCGTGAAAGTGCAAAGCGAAACATTACAAAATCTAAAAATTGAAGGAACAAAATGGGTGAAAAATTGAAAAATTGCAAAACGAAAAACTGAAGAAACGATAAATTATAAAATTGGAAATTGAAAATTCGAGAAATTCAAAGCGAAAAATTGCAGTATCTACAAATTAAAAAATTCATAGTTGGAAAATTTAAATTGAAATTTCAAAAAATTGCAAATCGAAATACTGAAGAAACAAAAAAAGTGGAAAATTGAAGAATTGAAAAATTCAAACCGAAAAAGCTCCGGAAATGTTAGTTACGCCACTGGTTTTACACAGGTCATCAGAAAACAAAAATCGCAAAATTTTGTAATTTTTTCAAAGAATCGGAATTTATTGGTCTTTTTTGTTAAAAAAATTGCGTTCAGGGTAAAATAGGGCTCTGAAAGCGTCCATTATCTCGGTATCACCCCGTCTCATTAAGGTTTTTAATATGACCATGTTAAAACGCCATTCTTCTCCCTCGTAATTGCTAGACGACATCCCCCACCCCCCAATTCCCCACTATCTTATTACAGCAATACATATGCGACGAAAGCAACAAAAGTACTCCAACTAAATGACTCAAATAAATTACGTCGAAGTTAACTCCGGCCCTGTTAGTAGAGGAATGCCAGACATTTAATTCACCAGCAAGACTTAAGCTCGCACGCACGCAAGCACCCATTAAAAATTTGCCCACTTCCACCCCGAGCCTAAAAGCAGCCCCAAGTCCAGAGCTGCTTTCCTGCAAAAATTGATTCTTACTCCCTCCGTTCCGCCCATTTGCGCCCCAAATTAAGACATCTCTCAGGCCTTTATTAGGGAATTTCCCGTGAAGGCAAAGCGGCATTGCGAACATTCGATCTACATTAATTCCAATGAAGTATCTCCAGATACTACGGAAATGTGTATCTATGCATAACAACGAGACTGACATTAACTGGGGTAATATTGTCAGAACTATGCCGCAAGTGGATGGTTTGAGGTCTTAACATGCAGACTTGCTTCAGTTAATTTCGAACTATCCAGGGCAATAAGTTTAGATTGCGATTACGTCAAACATTTACCTGTTCCTGAGGCCTTGGCGTGAGATGAAGGGCAGCAAACCGAGTTTATTGCAACAACCGCCACTGAAACAAAGGACAAGTTTAGCGATTTTTTTTTAATAAACGGGATTTGGGTGGTGGTGAAGTCGGGTGAGTGCAGCGTGAAATTTGCAAAAAAATTTTAATTAAATCGGGCGCAGCGAGTGACGAAAACGGGAATGGTGTTTTGATGGCTCGTGAAAATGGTGTTTAGGATACAACTACTGAAAAAAGCAGTTCATTTTGCGAGTGCTAAGCTAGTGAAACGGGCCCGAGGGTCGAACTAATAAAGACGGCTTTTATTTGCCTGTTGCTGAGCCAAGAAAACTAAATTTTGATCAATTTTTATTTCATAACAGTAGGAAAAAACGGTCCGAACAATTTATGAAGCAATTCATTCACACTCAGAGCGGTGACCTGATGCTTATTATAAATCAAATCTAGAGATTTATAGAACCCAAACAACTTTGATTAGAGTATTGAAATTTGTATTAAATTCTCTCTTCTCATTTGTTATTACTGTTTTCCTTCATTTTTACCGATCTAGTTTTCACTAGTTCTGGATATTTCGATCTCATTTTCACATTAACTTTCCCGATTTCTAATTTTATTCTTAGCTCTTCTCTGTATTTCTCTTTATTTTAATGTCAAATCACCAGCTTCATTCCAAATTTCAGAGCTTGTTGTAATTTAGCGCAATCTTTCTTTTTTATTTTGCTTGGATATTCCAATTTTTCGATTTTTCAATTCTTTGATTTTCCAATTCTTCAATTTTTTAATTTTTGACGCCTCTAAATTTTCGATTTTTCCATTTCTCGACAAACGGGTTTTTTGACTTTTCGGTTTCTTCACTGCTCGAATTTTCGATTTTTTTATATATCCATTTCTGGTTTCTTTTACTTTTTAATGTGTGGATTTCTTGATGTCTCGATTTATCCTTTTTTTATTGTTCAGTGTTTCCATTTTCCAAGTTTTCGGTTTTTCAGATTTTTAATTTTTCAGTTCTTCGATTTTTTAAATTTTCGATTTTTCAATTGTTCAACTTTTCGATGTTTCAGTTTTGGAGTTTTTCAGTTTTCGATTTTTTTGATATTTGGATTTTTCAATTTTTCGATTTCTCAATTCTTCGATTATTCAATTTTTCAATTTTTCGAATTTCTAAATTATAGATTTTTAGATATTTTGACCTTTCGCCTCGATCTTTTGGTTGTTCAACTTTTCGGTTCTAGAATTTTCAGTTTTTCAATTTTCGATATTTTAATCATTTGCTTTCCAGATTTTGGTTTTATAGTTCTGCAATCTTCCTATTTTTCAATTTTTCGAAAATTTAGATCTTAGATTTATCGATCTTTCGAGTTTTCGACTTCTCAGTTTTTGATTATTTGGTTTTTCAGTTTTTCGAGCTTTACAATTTATGATTTTTCAATTTTTCGATGTTTCAAAGTATCGATTTTTTTAGTTTAAAAGTATTTCCATTTTTTAAGTTTTAATTTTTCGCTTTTGAGATATTTTGAGATGCCGATCTTTCCAGTTCCCAACTTTTATTTTTTCGATTTGTCGATTTATCAATTTTTCGATATTTCGGTTTTGGGATTTTTCAATTTTTGCATTTTTTGTTGTTTGGATTTTTCGATTTTTCTGTTTTTCAATTTTGGAATTTTTAAATGTTAGATTTTCCAATTTTTTGATATTTCGACTTCTAAAACTTTCGATTTTTTAATTCTCAGTATAAGATATTTCGGCTTTTCGATTTTTCGATTTTTACAATTTTTGATTTTTCGATTTATCAATTTTCCTGTATCTCGATTTATTGAGGTTCCAACGTCTGGATTTTTGATTGTTGTATTTCACGATTTTTCCTATTTTCGATGTTTCGATATATCGATTTTTTTAGTTGAAAAATTTTCCACTTTTTTAATTTTAATTTTTCACTTTTAGCCTTTTTTGCTTCTCGATTTTTCGGGTTTTCTACTTTTATTTTTTCAATTCTTCAATTTTTCAACTTTTCGATGTGTCGAGTTTTCGATTTCTCCATTTTTCGGTTTTTCAACTTTTCGATTTTCCAATTTTTCGTCAATTGAGTTTTAGAATTTTTCAATATCTAGATTTTTCAATTCTCCGCTTTTTCTACTTTACAATTTCACGATTTTTTGATGATTTCATTTCTCTATTTTTTAATCTTTTAATATACAAATTTTTCGATTTTGAAAATTTTCGAATTTTAGATATTTTTTTCGATATTTCAGTTTTTGAGTTTTTCGACTTTTTAATTTCTATATTTTTCACTTTTTGGATTTTTCAGTCGTCGATTTTTTAAATTTTAGCTTTTTCGATTTCTCGATTTCTCTTTTTTTTTATTTTTCAGTTCTCCGCTTTTTCAATTTTTCGATTTTACGATCTTTTTATGTTTCCATTTCCCTATTTTTCAATTTTTTATTACTTCAATTTTTCGATTTTTCTAATATTCGATTTCTCCATATCTCGCTTTTAAGATTTTTAAAATTTTCGAATTTTAGATTTTTCGATTTTTCAATTTTTCAAGTTTTTGATTTCTCAATTTTTTAACGTTTCAATTTTAGGAATTTTTCAGTGTCTGGGTTTTTCAATTTTTTGATCTTTAAAATTTGAAGTTTTTCGATTACTCAATCCAAAATTTTTCGACCTTTCATGTTTTCAGTTATTCGATTTTAAAAATTTTTGATTTCTAGATTTTTCAATTTTTCGATTTTTACAATTATTCGATTTTCGATTTATCAAACTTCAGTTTTGGAATTTTAAAAGTTTTCGGGTTTTTGATGTTCCAACTTCTCGATTTTTCGATTTTTTAATTCGTCGATTATCCTATTTTTCAAATTTTTAAAATTAAGTTTTTTCAATTTTTTGATACTTTGATTTCTCAGTTTTTCGGCTTTGAAATTTTTATTTCTCGATTTTTTTATTTTTCTATTTCTCGATTTACCGAGACTTTGACGTTTCGATTATTTGATTGTTCAGTTTCAGGATTTTTCGATTTTACGATTTGCGGCTGTTTGGATTTTTTGAAATTTAAAATTTTAATTTTTGCTTTTGGGCTGTTTCGATATCAGGATTTTTCGAGTTCTCAGTTTTTCGATTTATAAACTTTTCGATTTCACAATTTTTCGTCGCTTCAATTTTGGAATTTTTCAATTTCCCTATTTTTAATTATTCGATCTTTCAATTTTCGATTTTTTAAATTTTGGATTTTTCGATTTTGCGATTTCTCCTTTTCTTAATTGTTTCATTTTTTCGAATTTTCAATTTTTTAACTTTATGATTTTTTGATATTTCCATTTCTCTATGTTTCAATTTTTTAATATACTTACTAATTTTTCGATTTTTGAAATTTTCGATTTTTCGACGTCTCGGCTTTTCGATTTTTAAAATTATTCGATTATTAGATTTCTCAATTTTTCAACGTTTCAATTTTGGAAAGTTTTCAGTCTCTAGGTTTTTCATTTTTTTGATCTATAAAATTATGTTTTTCTTTTTTTAATGTTTCGATTATTCGAACTTCCGATTTTTCGAGTTTTCGGATTTTCAATGATTCGATTTTTAAAATTTTTAATTTTTAGATTTTTCAATTTTACTTTGATTTTTCAATTTTTCGATATTTTCGCTTTAGCATTTTTCAATTTTTTGATTTTTTGATGTTTTGATTTCTCGATTTTTTGATTTTTCCTCAACTACTCTGTTTTTAAATTTTTTTAATAACTGAATTTTCGATTTTAACAATTTTTTATTTTTCGATTTTTCGTGTTTTCAATTTTTCTATTTCACGATTTATCGAGATTTTGACCTTTCGATTATTCGATTATTCAGTTTGTATTTTTTAGATTTGAAATTTTTATGTTAAGTTTATGTTCCGCCTTTGGGCTATTTCGATATCAGGATTTTTAGACTTCTCGATGCTTCGATTTCTAGGTTTTTCGATTTTCAACTTTTCGATTTCCCAATTTTTCGTCGTTTCAGCTGTGCAATTTTTCAGTTATCGATTTTTAAATTTTTTGACTTTACAATTTGTTGATATTTCCACTTCTCTATTTTTCAGTTTTTTAATATAAGTATATGAGTTTTCTGATTTTTCGAATTTTCGATTGCTCGACGTCTCGGTTTTTGATTTTTTAAATTTTTTATTTTTTCATTTTAAAATTTCCCGTTTTTTGAGTTTTTTGATATTTTAGCTTTTCTATTTTTTAGTTTTTCGATTCCTCAATTTTTCAATAATTTTGGAAACTTCTTAGTTTCTGGGTTTTTCAATTTCTGGCTTTTTTCAATTTTAAATTTTTACATCTTTTTTATGTTTCGAATCTTCCGGTTTTTTGACATCCCTTTTTCACTATTTTCATTTTTAAAATGTTTAATTTTTTGATTTTTCAATTTTTCATTTTCTCAGTTTTTCAATTTCTCGGTGTTTTTAAATTTAAAATTTTTCTATCTTTTTTTGTTACGAATGATAGTACAGAGCGTGTAATGAGGGTGAAATATGGCGAGATTTAATCGCTTATAAAGCCGTTTTACAAGATAGGGCTACAGCGCATTCGGACTGAACACGTTTCAAAACATTCATTTTTCGATTTTATTAATTTTCGATTTTTCGACATCTCGGATTTTCGATTTTTAAAAATTATTTTTAGGTTTCTCAATTTTTCAACATTTCACTTTTGGGAATTTTCCAGTTTATGGGTTTTTCAGTTTTTTCATTTTTCTAATTTAAAATTTTTCGGTTTGTTATGTTTCGAACACCCGATCTTCCGATTTTTCGTCATTTCGGCTTTTCAATTTTTTGAATTTTTGAAAGTTTTGATTTGCTTATTTTCCAATTTTTGTTTTTTTTTTTAGTTTTTCGATTTCTCAAATTTTCAACATTTCAATTAATTTTAGGAACTCTCCAGTTTCTGGGATTTTCAATTTGTCGATTTAATGGATTTTAAATTTTCCGATTTTTTGAGGTTTCAACTTTTCGGTTTTATTGTTTTTCGATTTTTAAAATTGTTTTTTCGTTTTCCCAATTTTTCGTTTTTTCA